TTATCTTTTCCTTCAACTTGGAGACATTCCTCGATGCTGAACTTGGAGACATTCCTCGATGCTGAGCACGAGTCTAACCACCATACCCAGCAACAATAAGCAAGACTCTTCACCTTGATATTCCCACCCATTCACACCTCGGTCACCTTCGAAATACCCCGGCCGGTTCCAGCCAAATCTCCGGTAAGTCTGCCTCCTCAACCCCATTGTTATCTCCGCTCCGTGTTCTCGCCTTGCAGCGGCCAGACCCGGGACTCCACCGCACATGCCGGTCGTCAAGGTGCCTGGCCCATTATCCAGCCTTGGCACGGAGCCATCACGGCAGCGATCACCAGGTCTTCCCTGTCCGTCATGCACCTGGGCCCCGGTTGATAAGATTGATAAGATCAAGCATTGCATCAATATTTTCACCTCATGCCCCCCTTCCCGCGGCCTTTTCTTTTATCAGATCATCTCTTCCTGACCCTTCTCTCTCAGCCGACCATCATCTTTTAGCCGGCCCCTTATCTCTCCCTAAAAATCCCCTATCACACCCCCACCATACGACGGCCATGTCCCCTCCGTCATCAGCGACTACTCGGCAGGCTCGCCCTCCACCCCCAAACCCCTCCACCACCGGCAGTGTCACCGGCACCACGGGCACCATCACCCCCTTTACCACCTCCCCTCGCTTCTTCGGCAAGCCCCTCAACACTTCCATGATCACCTCCAAGTTCCTCTCGCACCCCGAAGACCTCGGCGTCGTAGCCGTCGGCTTCTCCGGCGGGCAGGGCAAACCCGGTGTCGACGCGGCGCCCACCGCTCTCATTGAGAACGGCCTGCTCTCCCAGCTGCGGGACGAGCTCGGGTATAACCTGTACGGGCACGACGCGGTGCATAGCTACTCCGGCCTGGTGCCGAAGGACGATCCCCCGCATAGGGGGATGAAGAACCCGCGGGCTGTGTCCGCGGTGACGAGGAAGATTAAGGAGCAGGTTTATGAGCAGGCGCGGGAGGGACGGTTGGTGTTGACACTGGGCGGGGATCATTCGATTGCGATTGGGACGGTGGCGGGGAGTGCGCAGGCGGTGAGGGAGAGGCTGGGGAGGAGATCGCGGTTATTTGGGTGGATGCGCATGCGGATATTAATACGCCCGAGACGAGCGGGAGTGGAATGCATGGTATGCCGGTGAGCTTTTTGACGGGGCTAGCGAGGGAGGAGGATGAGAGGTTTTTGGGTGGTTGGGGAGGAGAATAGGGTGAGTGTCAAGAAGCTGGTGTATATTGGGTTGAGGGATGTGGATGCGGGGAGAAGAGGATTTTGAGGGAGAATGGGATTAGGGCGTTTAGCATGTTTGATATCGACCGGTTAGTCACCCCCCTCCAGCCCCCTCCCCTTCTCATCATAACACTAACTAACCCTTCCCCAACAGCCACGGCATCGGCCGCGTCATGGAGATGGCCCTCGCGCACATTGGCAGCGACACCCCCATCCACCTGTCCTTCGACGTCGATGCCCTCGACCCCATGTGGGCGCCGTCGACCGGCACCCCTGTGCGCGGCGGCCTCACCCTGCGCGAGGGCGACTACATCTGCGAGTGTGTCCACCAGACCGGTAGCCTCGTGGCTGTTGATCTTGTTGAGGTCAACCCCCACCTGGCGCCGGAGATCGAGCTGGGTGGGGTGGGGTAGAATGGGGGATCTGATGGTGGTGGTTAGATGGGCTGTTGGAGAGGCGGTTTTCTCTTGGGCAGTGGCGTCGTCGGTAGGGCTTGGGCTTGGGTTGGCATCGTGTTTCAGACTGCGCTTGCTGTTTTATTAGGATGTATGGAAGTAGATCAGAGCGGGTATTCGTAGAAGCAGAATCTAGAATGTTGCAGACGGCCATGTTGTCTAAGGTCCCGTGTATCCATGTCCCTTGAGGTCAGGACCCTTGTCGAGGAAGGGTTCTTCGATTGCTTCAGGTTGGCTTCCCAATTGCGCTCCGGGTGTCTCCCGCCACCGGCATTTTGGCAGCAGCAGCCCAATGCCCAGCCACCCCAAATGGCAGCCCCACCACCCCGCCAGCTCAAAATGCAGGAACAGTGAGTTGTTGACTTGCTGAGTTGTCTCGGTGATGTGTCTTCGACTTTTTTTCTTCCCAATTATCTTTGATCTTTACCTGAGCCCAATTTCCCCGATCGGCCACTGATTTGATCATCTGAAACTCTTCTTAAAGAGAAAGTCTGGCGCCGTCATCAACTCCATCAAGAGTCACGACCCCTGTCCCCCACGGTCTCATCCACTCAGGCACCGAGAAAGCGCGCGCCAAGCCATTTTAGCTCCCGCCGACGCGGCGCGGCATCGAAGAGACCAACCTTCTCTCAGTGCAACCCTCCGGAGCGGGCGCATACTCTTCTTGCAGTTGACTCTTCTGATTCTCTTTGTCTCTCTTTTCTCTTCTTCTTAACCACACAAATTTTATTTTTCTCAAATCCACCCTCTCTCGCGACTCAAACAATCTCTCAACAACCCTCCCAATTACGACTCCCACGACAGCCGAGCTCCATCAACAGTGGATCCACCAACACCACGAGCGAACCCAATTGCCAACCAACCTCCCCGCGACCCTCGACATCCCCACACATCCCGACGTGGCACCCGCTCGTGTGCGCCCTGCGACAAGGCGAGGCGTTTGCCTCACCGCAAGTGTTTGGCTTGGCCTATTGGGGTTGAGACCAAGGGCATCTGGATATTTTTCTTGTCCTCGGACTTGCGACTTGGGAACAAAGAGCTGGGAACAAGAGTTACAAGACCTTGTGTCACTATTCGACGAGTCGCATCCGAAAGGACTGTTGCTTGCGATTGAGGAAACAAGAGCCGGCGCAGTACCGAGGAGGAAAGCTTTTTGTTGTATTGAGGGTTGGAGGACAGAAAACGCAAGTTTTGGACGACTTTCCTCCGTCGCCGATCACCGAACCTCTTTTGCGAAAAACCAACGCGCCGTAAAGGCCGGGAGCCGAAGCCGACCGGACTGAGACATCCCTCTCGACCCGAGTCCGCCGCTACAACCATTCCACCCGTACGCCGTACCCCAGGCGAAACACACCACAACCGCCGCTATGGCTCTTCCACCACCCTCCACCGTCACCTCCGACAGCCTCGTCTACGAGCGCCGCATCGTCGAGCGCGTCCACAAATACCACTGGCCCGCCGTCCAGCTCAACGTCTGGATGCTCATCATGCTGATCGCCTCGTGCCTGATTATTGGCGTATTCTCAACCTTCATCCAAGTTCAGCAGGTCCTGCTGCTGCCAATACCATGGTGCGTCTTTCCCCCTTCCCCGGCCCCATCCCAAACCCCATCAACCACTAACACCCCCAGGTACTTCCCTTACTACATAACCGTCTCCTCCTCACCATCGCCTTTATCCTCCTCCTCCTCGCTCTCATCTTCCAGCGCCGCCTACTCCCCTCCATCGTCCTCATAGGCGGTTTCATCCTGTTCGTGCTCTGGCTCGTCGGCCTCATCGTCGTCTCCATCCAGCTGTGGGGCCCTCGGGAAGCGTCAACTCCAACTGTGAGCTGTACGTTTTCGGTGCTCGTCCAGAGAAGCCGATGGGGCAAAGTCTGCAAACGCTGGCTTGGTTGCAGCAGAGGGGGATCTGTCAGAGCTGGCAGGCAGTTTTTGGGTGCGGGTTGGTGGGCGGTGTGTTTTTGGTGTGGATTATGGTTATGGCTTATCAGGTTTTGTTGATGATTCTTGAGGGGAGGAGGTGGGGGGGGGTTGGTATGATGATGAGGAGGATGGTGAATTGGGGGTGTGGAAGAGTGGTCGGTTGGGGCTTGGTTCTCATTTTTGGGTATTTATGTCTTACTGGTTGCTTATGTGTCTGTCTTTCTATGCATGGGTAGATGGAGTTGGGCTCCGGCGCATCTGTGGGAAGATTTGAGCGTCAGCTGGGTGTTGGGGTTTTGGATTTGATACGATCTTGTATGAGAGGAACGAATGATGTGGAAGCAATGGATGAGCATGGAGCTGAATGACCGGGATCATCAGATATCAGAGGAGGAATAATGTTTGAGATTTACCAGACATATATCTAAGCGGTCTCAAGTATCAGTTTACCTTATTCAACAATCTGAATCCGACTCAACAAGACGCAAAGGGAAAAGGCTATATATGCTCTCGTTGGCAAAATTTTGGCGTCCCGTGGTTATCCCCTTGTTCGCTGTTAATGCCCTGTGCAATTATGGTCACCTATGCTGTCATATTTTACTGGCTCTGCTTCTGATTTGGCGGCGCTGCAATAGAAATGGGAGTATTCACCATAGTTCATAAGGTGGATTGGGTGATGGCCACCTGAGCTTGATTTAACAGCCTTAAATCAAATCAGGGAAGAAAGAGAAGTGGTGTTCGAGTCTTAAGTCCGTTGGTAGGTGTCAGCATTTTCCTCTCTGTTTCCTTGTTGTTTTACTCGTTTTATTTTTTTACTGCTTTTCTCTTTTTACCCCCTTACTTGTTCTTTCCCCCATGCTCTGTTCTCTTCTATTCAAGATTCCTCCCTATTCTTGCTGTTGTTTGTTTGTTTTGGGGGCCTTGACATTAAAGATCGTCTCCTCAAAGCGTATCCTGTCCTCCTCTTGTCATCGGTGCATCCTCTGGATTCAGATTCGTGGCGGCCAGGTGGGAGTTGGTGGCGGGGTGGGCCGAAAGGCAGACTAGGGAGTTGGGGGCGGCCAGGGAGGAATGGGAGGGGGATGCGGACGCGGGTACAGGAAGGCTGGGCTACGTGGGGGACCGCTCCGGGACCAATATCCGAGTTCGGCATGGAAAGTATTATGACCGTATTGTTGTCTCAATTTTGTTGTTTTTCGTTTCCGACATAATATTCTTATCCCAACCTACGCCTCTCACATCACCGTGGAGGGATGAAAGAAATCGGATTTGGCTTTGGTCAAAAAGCGACACATCGCGACCCACATGATGTGTGTGGAGTCATGAAAATAACAAATAAAAAAAAAGCTAAAAATGTATTGATCTCTCCCGCCGGGAATTGAACCCGGGTCTCGAGCGATGTCGGCTTTGAATGACAAGCTCACATACTGACCACTATACTACGGAAGAATTGTGGATGTGATCATCCACCGTAGTTGGTTGGTTGCGGGGAGAATCAAGACTTTTACCTATAACGCTACTTTTTGCAATCGATAGCGTCAATTCGTCAAAACCGAAGTTGAGAGAAATTGTGAAGGTCGGAAGGGAAAAGTTGACAAACGAAAAAAGGTGATTTTCGCTTGCCAAGAAGAGTCTCGAAGGGTTTTCTAACTGCTATCACAGATCGTTTACTTTTCTCTTTTTCTTTCTTCTTTTTTTCTTCTTTCTTTCTCGTTAACCGTTTTCCCTTTCTGAAACATTCAAAACTGTTGCAATAACGTTAGACTAATGCTGCTGTCAATGGCTTTTGTCGTGCATTTCTGACTTTCTCATACTAGTTTGCTCTCGATTCTTCGAGATCTGTGCCAAAGGAAATTGTCACTGAATGAAGGCATTTAGCAACCAAGCAAAGCAGAACAGAAACATGCGACGACCCAGATACAATTGGGCAGTAAATAACGTGCATAAAAAGCGAGTGCACCACTTTTCATCTCCTATCCAGACCTCAATGTCAGAAACTTAGCTTAGCAACAAGACACAAGTCTTCTATTCACTTCGTTCCCGATTACAAGTACAGTATTCCTAAAACCCACCCAACAACTGAAGACAAAAAAAGGAGACGCTGTGCCATGCAGCAGTGGGAATAGTACGACAACGCCATGCTTGCTGGACAACAATGAACGACAAGGTATACACAAATAAATGGTATAGCGAACGGTGAACAGTGTCAACGTCCTTGAAACCAGCCCAAAGAAATGCCCCATCCCAACACCCAGCTCAACTCACGAAAACACCCCGGAAGGAAACAGTTCCTGAACTCCTCTTCCAAGTCCCTGGATTATCACCACCGTCCCCACCACCGTTCCATCATCACCACTCTTTAACAGGCAATCCAACCCCTCCTCAGAATCCCACTAACCACTCAATCATCGCTCCCAACCCTGATCTCCGGCCCTCCGCTGCCCCACCCAACCCTCCTCCTCATATCCCCATCACCCCCTCCACACTCACCCCATCAGAATCCTCCCCACGAAACTCCCCTCGCCGCCCGTCTCGCTCTCCTCCTCTCCCCATAAACTTCCCTCCGCCTCCCCTCCCCCTGCCTCAAACACTCCACATACGTCCTGTATTTCACAATCTCCCTCAGCAAATACTCACTCTTCCTCTCCCAATTGGCCATCGCCCGCGCCGCATTCCCAGACCTTGGCGAAAACGCCCCCAGCATCGGGGATCGCAGGGAATTGTGGGACTGCAGTTCGGATTCTATACTGCGGACGTAGATGAGCAGAGAGTCGAGTTGGTCTGGTTCGGAGAGAGGAGGGGCGCAGGGAGGAGCGGGGGTCCAGTCGGTTATGTGGATGCGGTCGCCGGGGAGTTTGGATGTGAGGTTTTGAGTTTGGGGGTTGGTGGGGCGGGGAGGGAGCCTGGGCCGAGGACGCCCGAGGAGCCTGAGCCGGGGCGGATTGCAAAGTCGAAGGAGGCGGAGCGCATCGAGCGGTGGGATTGCATGGAGGAGCGAGCGGCGCCGGTAAGGGCGGCTGCGACGGCCGCGGCGGTGGCGGCAGAACCCGGGCGGGAGTGCCCGCTGTTGCCTTGGTTGGAGGCGGTGGTGGTGATGCCGCTTGCCGGGCGGGTAAGGATGCTGGCGCTGTCGTTGGCGGTGGACGCGGCGTTGATGATGCCCTCGCTCCAGCCGTATTCAATGTTGGAGATGCCGCCGACGAGGGGATGGGTGCTGAGGCGGGCTGCCCAATAGTTGGCGGTGCTGACGAATTCTTTGCAGATTTCGGGGGTGCCAACTTGGAAGAGGTGGACGGCGCCGGTGGGAAGGGAGAGGGCCCAGACGTGCGGGCGGGTGCGGGAGTAGCCCGGTGGTGGCAGCGCAGAGGCAAGGGTCTGACGGAGGGAGAAGGTTCCCAGATTAGTAGCATTATCCTGCCAGTTGCCGCCGCCGACGACGGCGCCCTTGGGGAGGTTGCCGCCCGGCCCGCGGCGGGACTTGTTGCGAATGGATTTGTTTGGCGAGAAAGAAAACAGCGACAACTGCCCCTTCTGGACGACCGCAAACACCTCGGTCCAATTCCGATCCTTGGCCCGCTTGTCAATGCCATCAAGATGGTGCTTGTGCGTAACAATGCCCTCCTTGACCCACGGTGGGCCAGCCAGCTCCAGCGACTCATCGTCCAGCAGCTGCTCCTGCTTGATATCATCCTTCATGGCCTCGAGGGCGCTGTCCTCCCGAATAATAGCCTGACTCAGCGCATTGGCAAAGCCGATCGACTGCTGGAAGTCGCTGCGCGGGTACAGCGACCCAAACGAGTCCATCGACAGGGTCGTGTGTGTGCGCCCGAGCGACAGCTTGCTCCAAGTCGCTGACGAATCCGTCGGCGTCCACACGGAATTCCCATCCTCGAAGCTGGTCCTACTGCTCGAGAAGCCCGTGTTGAAGCCCCTTGGCCGCGATCGGCTCTTGGAGTTCCACCTTGACGAGCTCGCCTTGGCGACTTCGGAGACTCTGCCCCTTGTAGAGGGCACACCCTCTGAAGGCGCCTTGCTCAACACGCTGGGCGACCGCTTGAGCATGCCCATGACGGACAAGCCGTGAGGTACCTGCGGGGCAGCCTCAGCGCCAAACAGCGGCAACTTGTCGTCGCGGATAGAGGCATAAATATCCTTGAGCACAATCTCAACCTGGTTCTCCCACTGTCTTAGGGGACCGTCAAACGGCGCCTTAACAAGCGGGCCACAGCTCTCCCCCGGCGTTGAATCCGAAAAAGCACCAAGCGCCGACCCCGGCCGCGGCGGCGGCTTGAACGACGCACGGAAGCTGTTGTGCTTGAAGTCGTCAGACGTGCGGCCCTCTGCTTCCCCGCCCTTGCCCGGCAAGATGCTCGGGCGGTCGAAAGCATCGGGGACCGACTCCTGGAGGGCCTGCCTGATGGTGGTCATGGTGTTCTTGATGAACTGGCTGCGGGTCATCTTGTGCTCGATGTCGGCCATGTGCAGGTCGGTGTTGAGCAGGATGATGGAGTAGCAGATTGTGTGGATGATGTCTGGTGAGGAGTTAGCAATTGTCGGGTTAGGGAGGTGAGTAGGCTTACCCGTCGACTTGAACCCATGGTTCGGGTTGCAGTCACACCATCGCTTTGAGAAGGCCACCAGAATCCGATCCACCTGCTGTGTCTCTGCCCTCAGCAACAGCCGCTGACAGACCTGGCGCAAGCTCGCCACGATACTCTGGCCCTCAAAGTCGTACAGCTCCATGTACGCGCGGAGCGTCCTCTGGCGCACAATACCCTCCTCGCCCATCCATGCGGCCGCCCTGTCCTTCTGGATGAAGTCCTCATTTCCCTCAAATATCTTCTGAGCCTTCTGGCGGTCGTCCTCAGTCGGATCACCAACCACAATCTCGGGCTCGTCAATCGACTTGGACGAGTGTTTGGCCGACTCGCCGGGGCTGGGCTCGGCGCTGTCGATGCGCAGGCTGGGCACGCTGTGCTTGTACATGCTCTCGCCGGTCTCGATGGGCAGGCCAAGGGTGTTGGAATCACGTTTATCGTTCCGGGCAGAAGGAGAGCGTTTGGAGTCCTGGCGTGTCGACCGACGAGCTTCTTCCCTTGCTCGGTTAAGGTTGGGAACGCTCTTGGACTTGGACACGACGGGAGACGGCGACCGGCGCCCGTCTGGCTGCGGCGATGGTCGAAGGTTCTTGTCGCGTGGCTCAGATCGTGGTGTTTTGCGTTTGCGGACTGGGCTGTCCTCGCTGTCGCTGTTATCTCGGAGGAACGACCCGACGGTTGGGGTCGCCACAGGACGTGATCCGGGCTCGGGTTCGACCTTGCGGATGACGGCTTTCGGGCTCGGCTCGTATTCGGGCGAGAAGCCTCGCACGCGGGTCTCGTCTTCGTCTGGAGGGGCGCGTTTCGGGGTGGACTGGTATCTTTCATCGGGACGCTCAACCGAGGGCAAAGGGGTGTCAGCTGAAGTCTGGGCGGTGGAAGAGCCCGGAATGCTTTGTAGGAACGGGTCCATAGCCCGTCTGAGACTCGTCATGGGGCTCGGCTCCAGTTTGACCGGGGGCACGGCCGGGACGGGTGGAGGTTCCGTCTCGGTCATGGAATATTTCCGTCTTCGGAAAAAGGATGATGTTTTCTTTTGTAATGTGTGGGTCGCCGAGTGGTGCGACTCGCGGGATGGAGGCGCGGCTGGCTTTGGCTGCAGGGAGAAGGGAGACGCCTGGGCAGAGGGGTTTGGCGCAGCCGTCTTGGACGAGCCAAACATCCTCCTAAAGAAGCCGGTCTTCTCTTTCGGCTGGGGGGTCGCGGCAGCGGGGAGCATCGCCGGGACGTCCTTTGTCTTCTCGTAGCCCACATGGGGCGCGGGCGCCGAGTCGAGGTCGAAGACTGGAAGCGGCGGTGCGTCGCGTGCTGTGTTGAACTTGGACTCGGGTTTGCGGCCGACTGTCGCGCTCTTGGAGGATCTCGTGCTGCGTTTGCGTTCGGGTACTGCTGCCTTGGCGGGCTGTTTGGGGTCGGCCTTTTGCTCTGCCGGCGTCATGGCGGGCATTGACGGCGCATTGGCGAGCTTCCTGGGCCCGCCGGGGACTGTCGGCGTCGGGGCGGCGTCGTAGCCGTCGGTGCGAAAGGAGCTGGCGTTGAACTCGAGCTGCCAGGTCGCGGGCGACGGTCGGGCGTCCCCGTCAAAGCTGGACGACCGTTTGCCAAAGCCGCGGGCCCACCGCTGGCTGCCCAGAACCTGGGCATACCCTGCATCGACGCTGTTTGTGCTGCTGCTCTTGCTCCCCTTTCCACCTCTGGAGTGTAGCCCCCGGCCGGGGCTCCGCTGCGACATCTCGCGCATGCTGTTGATGCGGCTTAAACCCGTCTGGTACCCTGAGCTGCTATTGCTTTGGCGTCCCCTCGACGATACCCTGCTGGCGTCGTCGCCTTCGAAGTCTGAGCTGTACGAAT